AGCCCCCTCAGCGCCAGGCGCGGCCGGGGCTTGTGACACGGCAGAAAAGCCGCTCTGCGGGGAGGGAGGGGCGCAGCCTGCGGGAGCCTTCGCCTGCGAAGCTGTCGCCTTGCACTTTGCAGTGGGTGGGTGTGAGCTGATGTTAATTCGGGTTTTAAAGGAGGCCCTACTCGGGCGCTAGGCTAATCAATAGAAACCCTGCGGGAGGGGGAGCTTCGCGTTGCCCTCCTGGGAGGGGGAAGGGGGGAGTGAGGTGCTCCCCAAAGTAATCTCTGATCTTACACGGCGCTAAAATGGAAACTTCCAGGGAAAGAACAGACCTGCAGAAATCAGCGCTCTTGTCTTCAGTACAGGGTATTCCAAATATTTGTCTGCTTCTCAGGTTGTGGAAAGTGGCTCCAGAAACAAGAAGCTGCTGCTAACAGTGCAGATTTTGTGACTGTTCATTGCGTCTCTTCTTCCATGCCTGTCGCAGGTGTTTGTTCCGTCTCTGAACAGGTTGCACTTTACTCGTGTTTAGTAACTGCACCCTAACAAGGTGTAATACAGCCAAATACTAGGACCACAGCCCAGCTGCCGCTTAAAGACCCTGACTTTATTCTTTCCGATGTTACAGGCCAGGTGGGAGAAATCTCCTTCTGTTGCCCAGGCTCGCTTTTCTCATTTCACTGAGAAACTTCTGAAGAAACTAAGCTGGACCCTAAGGCCTTCCAAGCGATCGCTGTAATGGAACTTAAGTGGCTTACCGTCGCTCACAGCTCACTTGCGAATCCCTATGGCAGCAAGTCCGTGTTCCGTGTGGCCTTCAGCGACCCCGTACAGAGGTGTTGGCTGTTCTAGATGAACACCCTGCACCTTCCCAGAGGAGATCACGAGCTAGTCTGCTCTTCGGTTGCTGATTTCTTTCTCAGCATCAGTATTGCAGTAGACAACTTGCGTGTTGGCTGCCTCCCGGACAAGGCCACGCGTCACTCTTTTCAGTGGCTAACAAAGCGCTGTGGCCTTGATCGTATGTGATGTCTGAAAGGTTTGCTGTTAGCCCAGGGTTATCTGCGTGATGCAGTTAAATTGAGAGGTATTGCAGCTGTGTTTGTCTTGACCTGGTCCTCTGTTACCAAAGGCCTCTCATTGCAAAAACATCTCATTGAATATCTGGTAATACTGTTGCCTGCGAGCAGTTGAATAATCTTTGAATAACCTGTTTACGTAGAAGAAAATAATTACTCGCTGCAAAGTTGCAGCTTGTTGAAATTTTTTTGTGAGTATGTTGAAAGTGCCGCGGTTTGTACCGCTCGTCTGATCAGTAACAGGTTAGATGTGAAGGTGCGATGCCTCAGACAGTATTAGGCTACAGCATGGCACTAACTGGAAATTTATTTGAATCAGCATTGCTGCCATCATGTTTGTGGGGTGAATCTGAGGCCCCCTAACCCCCACGTGAAGGAGTTGGAATATTAAATCATTCTCTAACCTAGCCGTGCTCACTTACTCAGATTTTGCTCTTTTTAAGTTCATTATGCTTGAAAGAACATGTTGGGTTTCCACGAGCCTACAACTTGAGTTAGGCTGAACTGAAAGATTTCAAAATCTTCCAAGCTGCCAACTTCAGGTCGGGCACTGCAGCGTTGCAACCTTCCTGCTATCTTTTCACGCTGGAAACAAGCGTGTTGAGAAATGCGTGCTCTGCATGTGTTCATGGGAGTACAGTGGCCTATTTTTGTGTAGAGTTATATGCTGCCTGTTGAATGTGATTTTTTTTTTTTCCTCGTTGGTATTTGTGGGATGAAAAGAATTGTTGGCAAGTGATAAAATATTTCCCCCCCTGCAAAAGTACTTGATTTAATTTAGTTTAGGCTTTCTAAGGGAACGGATAGTCTTGTGCACAGATCGATGGGACTAAATTGTCACTGGTGACTCGTTACCAAATGTGAATGAAGAGGGTTTTCATTGCTCAGTGGACAGATATTTACCTCAAGCAATCTGTGATGAACTTCCTGGCTGAGGGATGTAGAGGCAGTTACACCTAACACTTCTCTGGAGGTGGTGGCAGAGCTTTCACCAAGTGTGTTTAATGTTGCATTTGCCTGAACTATACCGATCTGGTACATAGATGTCAGCTTTTGTACTGTTCTGGCCAATGCCATAGCCTTTTCTGAGTATTACTTTTGCTTTAAGAGGATGAGGGAGTAATTTTGCTTTAATGAAGGATGAGGGAGTCTTTTGCTTTAAGAGTAGAGGGAGAAAATTCAGTCATAGTCCTTGCTTTGTGAGTTGGTATGGCTTCCCTGGCTTGACATTTGAACTCTTTCAAAGTTTAATCCTACACTCAAGAGTAGTAATCAGTTTTACTAAATTCAGTTCTCATGAAAGCCATCGCACTAAAATCGGGCTGTGGAATACAAAGCTTAGTTGTTAATAACTAAATGATTCAGGACAAGGAAGACTTTCCTGATCAATCACAGTAACTGCATTCCTCAAAGTCACTGGGATGTGAGATGACATAAGAGTAAGAAATCTGGAACACCTTTGAAAGAAATGATTTGTACATTGCTTTCGATGTTTGTGCTCAACTTGTTTGAATTTTTTGTGGACTCTTAAATATTTGAGATGAATCAAAAATTACTTTTTCAAGTGAATGCTGGGGCTTTGAGATGGTCTGTCCTGCATCTTCTGCACCACACCTCAAGTGAGAGGATTAGTTTGTGGATCAGAGGTGGTAACTGATCTGTCCGGCTGCTCCTAGGCAGGGTGACTTTTCTTCGGTGGCATTTTGGGGTGGGAGGGGGAGAGGGAGGACGTTTGCTCCCCTTTGAGTAATGGGATCAGAAAATGAGCGGAGATGCCTGCACTTTGGACAAAAACGGATTTCTGTCGGACTGTACTTGAGTGTAGCTCTTACTGACAAAACAGCATCTTGCTTGGTTCTTACCTCTCCTGTTCTCCTTGGCAGTCTCATTTTCAGTACAGCGCAGGTGTTCCCAGCACTTACTGGTTCCTTCTTCATACATGTGCTGTTCTTCTTGTCACCTGTCGTGTGTACTGCCTGAATCTGAATTTCTGGGAACGTTATGAACAGGAAAGGCTGTGGCTTGGTAAGCCTGTAGAGTGCCATCTTGGGTACCGTGGAAGTGAATGAATATCCTGAGACTTACTGTGTGTCAACAGGCTGTGTGTTTAAAATCCTTTTCTACTATCAGACTCTAACTTCTAATTTCTGTGGAGATGGAGGGATCTTAAGACTTCGTTTACTTTATCCCCTTGCAGTGTACTTTTTCAGATAATCCTCAAATAGATATAGGGCCTTGCAATTACTCTAGTATAGGAAAATCACCTGTGACATGAACCTTAAATGGTTATGGATGGTTTCACTGCTTCCTACAGAGCCCTGGAGAAATGGCTGTCAGGCAAACATGAGTGTTCTGCTCAACAAATGGGAAGAGTAGCAGAAGTACTAGAATTGTCTGAAGGGCCGGATGACAAAGCCTGACTGGTCTTTATCCTGCTAATACCTAGAATTGGTGACTTTATTGGTTGCTGTTCTTTTGCAGGACAGCATGGAGAGATTCTTCCCAGAAGCGAGGACCTTTCTCTTAAAAACTGAATTCTGCAGATATTGGTGTTTGAGCCCTGCTGTGTCCGGCAAAGAAGCTTCATATTTAAAAGTGTTTTGATGTTACACCATTTTTAAAGAGTGCTAAAGGTATAGGAGGACAGAAGTGCAAGGCATAGGAAAACATGTATTCACACAACTTTGTGGATTGTTTTGTTTGTTTCTTTTGGCTTTACTGGTGCAATTTGTAGCTCAGGTTTGTGCTGTGTCCTTAAAAGTGTTTGTTGGAGAGCTTTATTTTGGAGAAATTAGGTGCAGAAACAATTTTGTGGTATTGATGCTTTTTTCCAGTGTATTTCAGAGCTTAGTAAAATGGATGGGTTGGGGGGGGGGGAAATGAAGACTGACATACAGCGGGACAAAAGCAGTGGCTAGCAGTACAGTACTCAAGGTCATTTAGTCAGATAAGAGCTAGGTCTGCTTACTTTTGCTGTGTTCTAACTTTTGTGCTTATCTCCCTGATGTAAAAACTGAAGTTCCTATTTTAAGTTGAACATAAAAAGTTAAAATTTATTTTAACTGCTACATCTACATAAAAAGCTCAACTCTTGATTTTGCAGGGTATTTTTTCTTGCTGTAGCGAGGTGGCGTGTTGTCTGCCTGTAATCCAGTGGCAGCTGGGAGACTTTAGAGATAAGGGTGCAAGTTTAAATAGAGCAGGGGGGCGGGAAGAGGAAAATATCCCCAAAGCTGATAAAGTAAAAATTGCTTCGACTCTCTTATTTTTGCCCTTTATCGGAGGGTTCTGTGCCAGGGCAATAGTTGTGTGCTAAGCATGACCAGGGATTTGCAAAGCTCTCTGGCTGTGGGAGCGGAGAGCCTCAGTGCCAGTGGTCTGTTCATGCACACCTTTCTGCTTCCTTTTGTACGCCAGCTTCTGCTATCCCCAGACTCTTTTTTTTTTTTTTCTTTCCCTTGAGCATGTGGTGTGTGATTTCAGCTCCAAACTATCAGCTAGCAGTTTCCACAACTTACAGGGTTTTTTTCCAAGTAAATTACTGCTAACAGAAAGAGAGTTCATAAAGAGAACATGTTAAAATCCAATGTTCCAAAACATGCCAGGGTATGTTATACCTGACACTGTTCCTTTTGGCATACGTTTGTATGTTATTATGTGAAATAATAGTGAACAGCTGTAAATAGATTGTTATAAAATATATTTTTAAATCTGTTTTTCAGCATTGAAGTAGTCAGGAAATATATATGCTCTTTGTACCTTCCTTAAAATCCTCTGCATCCCTAATGCAAGGGGAAAGCTTGTGGGCGAAGGGCCGGAACCATGGGTGCAGTACAGTTCTCAACCAAAAAGCAAGGCATCACCTGGCACTCCCCAGTATGGAGTGGGCAAGGGGTAGTCTGTGTTTATGCTTTCAGAATCAGATTTGTGTGGGCTTGTTAGTTTTTGGAGATGTTGATACAGAAGGTGCTTGTCATCGAAGCTTCGCTACATGATCACTATGCTGGTCCTGCAGGAAGACTTCATTCTCTAGCTCCTGGCATTTCTGACACCACAAAGTTGTTGACTTTCTAAAAGAGGACAGGCAGGAATGGGCTAGGAGAAGAAAATGGTCAAAACTTGGAGCCCTTTTCACAGAAGGCATTGAAGAGAATGTTTTCTATTCTCTTTCTAAAAGCAGTGCCCTCAATCTTTCAAGATTATTTCAAATAGCTTTTTTTCAGTACCCTGTGGTTCTGAATCTTGGGCAGTTGTTTATTCCACTGCAGCAGCCGATAGTGTCAACTACCAGAGTTACTGCAGATGTCTTTCTGGTGCAGTAAAACTCAAATTTTAGCAGCACCTTTGGTTATATTTGTCATTTGCCCATGTCTTCATTTAAAACTTATCTGTGTAAAATGCTCTTTCATCTGTTCCTGTTGCTTATTCTCTGGTGAACTCCCAGTTAGAATAGTGAGCTCAGACTCCTAGTAAAGACCCGATCCAATTATTTTCTTTTTGCTGGAAGAGGAAGCAAACGCTGTAGAATACACCGTGCTTTGTATTTGTTCTGTAACTACTTTGTTCTGCACTTGCTTATTATAGGAAAGTACTTTATGTAGGCAAGGGGTGCTGTGAGACTGCAGTTTGCCTGTCCCTGAAGGGTGTATTAACTGGGGTGCAGCACCGAAGTAATGCACCTGTACGGTTCTAGCGTGGGCTTACATCAGTTAGCTTGGAGAGCGGGTGAAAAGCTGGCTTCTGTCGGCATCCATCTGTATAGATGTCTCCCACGTGCCATGAGAGACGAGCTTAACTTTTCCCTTAAGTGGTGGTTAGGTCTCTCTCTCACCTAGTTTACTTGCTTACCGTAGTCCCCTTACTGTGATACTTGACTGTCTCCTCTTTCCTATAAATATCCTCCTTGTATCCTGGCTTGGCAGGGAATGGCTGCTACCCCTCTGTAAGGGAGGGAAGCAGAGGCACAGGCAGTGTTAGTCGTGTTCGTGCTGTATTGACCGCTGCAGGAAATGGGAACTAATTCTGGGCTGATAGCCCACTGGCTTATTCTTCCTACAGTAAACACAGGGTGATCCAGTCTCTTTAACACGGAGTTCCCAAAGCTGTCCTCCTGTGTATTTTCACATTCTTCTCTCTCTGCTCCCCCCCACTCATGTGCAAATGTGCATTTCTATGTATCTGGGTATGCGTGGAAGCAGGAGGAATCATGTGTCCTCCTGCACAGCTATGGTGGTGGCAGCTTCTCCAGGGCAAAGTTAGTGAGCTTGTTTAACTCTCCTCTTTGCAAGATTTAGCTTGCAGCTGTCCCTTGAGTGAACAAACCTGAATATAATGTTCCAGGGAGTAAATACCTACTCATGATGAGGAAGAGGAACTGGGTGAATGTGATCTTAATTAAACAAGTATCAATAGCAAGCAGAAAATTGTTTACTTTACAAATGAAGCACTGCTGTCTTGGAACTATTCTAAAGCCACCTACATAGAAAATAGCTGAAGAGAAGATTGGACTGGGGTAAACACCTTATTGGAAGAGAGTGTTTAGCTGTGATGGCTGGAACTTCAGGTATGCTAATCATGCTTTTATCCCCCGTTCTTATAGATTGCTGCTAAAATTGGAGATATTCCTCACTTGAATAATTCTACAACGCTTGTGGACCCATCAGTCTACGGTTATGGAGTGCAGAAACGGCCCCTGGATGATGGAGGTAAGCTGGCTATGATGAGTCAATCTTGTGGATGCAGCTCTTCAAATTCATCTATGGAGGCAGTTGTCCACTTTAAGGATAGAAATCAATGCATCTTTCTGTGTATAGAAATTTTATACAAGAATCCCTGTGCTGTTTAGTTTTATCTAGCTAGCACAGGGCTCCTAGGCATTAGTATTATTAACGTGAAGCAATTCTTTCTTCGTTCATGAACTTTGGGAATTAGCAAATGAATACTGTAATGTAAATCTTGTGCTGGTAGCTAGGGGGAGGGAGGAGGATGTGCTTATCGGAACTGTGCTGGAGCCCATGTATAGAGTACCAGATGTACATTGTAAAGCTGTTCTTCCCTGATGACCCTGATTTTCTGAGAGCTGACAGTGTGCTGCTTTCCATGTGTAGCCGTGGTCACAGCACAGCAGTTGAGTTGCTGTCGAGTTCTGATTGCTTTGTACGTTAATTTTAAGAAGGGGTATTGATGTAAGTTGAGGCAAGTTGGAAGGAAACTTCCCGTGTTAGGCTTAGCTTTTTTCATAATTATTCTTTGAGCATTCTTAAATCTCTGAAGCATTTAACATTGGCCACAGCCAAAGAATAATTTACTGGGTGGATGATATCTGGTAACTGTAAGGAGTTAATATTGTATGAAGTGTTATAACATATTTTAAAATAAGTTATTAGTTTCTTATCTTTGGCGGGAGCAAGAGGTGGTTTGTTTTGTTTTTTGGTTTTTTTTTACAATTCTAATGATGTGCACTGTTACAAGAAGTGTTTAAGCTATATTATCTGCTGCTGTATGGATGCAAAGAGCTCACCTTTTCCTGTGGTTGGTTTCAAAAAAAAAAACATGGCTATGTCTTCCTATTTCCTCTAATATTTTTACTGATGCAGGTGGCCCTGCAGGGTGATTCTCTCCCCCACAGGTATGCTCAGGAATACTGAGGAAATAAGCAAAGCTGCTGCCTAGCACTTCATTTTGAAAATAATTTTTTCTGTCTGCTACAGAAAGCTGTGTGAGGCAAAGGCTGAAAACATTGCACGTCTGCTTCTCATCCTGAAAAAACGTGCTGGAGCACAGGGAGAAGTTTCTTTCATGTGGAGCCTCTGGCTTGCTAACGTTACTGTTTTCTGAACGCTTGCCACAACCCACTTTGTTCTCTGCTCTTGGCTCTGTTTGAGCAAGAGGTTGCTGCTCCTTTGGTGTTTTAGGGAAGAATGAGTTTATCTGGGTGAGCCCCTGCACCTTGTATCTCCGGCTGGAGCATCACTATGTCTATGAGAAGCCAGAGGCCTGGTATTACTGGTATGTGTTGGTTTCTGTATGGGAAGGTGCTCAGCTGTCAAGCAGGCTGTTCAGCATTGAGAAATGCTGAACAGCTTTGAGTTGTGTCTGACTGGCTTAGATAAGTGGCTGTATGTGAAAAAAGAGTAAAAGTAACCTTCTAGGAACTCGTTCATAACATTAGTCCTGCCTATTTCTTTCATTGATTTATCAGCCTGAACTGAGAAATCTGACCTCTTGACAAAATGGGTTTTTATGAACTTTTAACTTGTGAGATGGTCGTAGCGCTTAATGGCAGCGCAAGTTAGACTTTGTACTTAAACTTTTACTGGTGAGCCCTATTACTTGCTGAGCCTTGTTTGTGTTGACACAAACAGTGTCAATACAGTTGGAGTCTGGGCTATGAAGGTACGTTACCGCTGGTTTCTTGTGCTGTGATAGGTAACTCCGTGGAGCGGGTGTCATTCCTGGGAGAGCCTTTCAGAGCAGATATACTCTTTGGTGTTGTATTGGCAGTTGTTCTGCCAATGTGAAGACCTGTGGGTGTTGGCTCACCCTGGGTGCTTCTTCAGCTTTGTTTGTAACTGGTTTTTAAAGTAGCTCCAAGTCCTGTATTTGCTGTTGGGTTCTTCATATACATCTGTAGATGTTATAACTTTGTCCAACTTGCTTCCCAAAAATCTGATCTGCAAAATCTTAGAGGAGAAGAGAAATAATGGAAGTAATATTTTCAAGGGCTGGAATTTCACAAAGAAAACAGAATTGTCAGGGTTAGGAGCAAGGGTTGTACCGCTGCTTTCAGCCTTGGTCATCTTGGGGTTTATTTCTAATGGCATTAGTAAATCCTGTACTGAAATACAATTGTGTGATGAGTTCCCCACCTACCCACATAATCCTCCTGTGCTGCTCTTTAACTGCATACCCAGAACTGAAGCCTGCAAAGGGACTCCTGAAGCAGCAAGTGCTTCTTGCTCCGTTTTTCTCTGTGGTATGATCCATACCTTAGTCAGTCTTAGGCTACCTGCTCTTGATGCCATTAAAAGCCTATAATGCAGCTTTGGCTTTAGGCATCTGGAAGATGGCATTTGCTTTTAGTGGGACAACTTAAATTAGGCAAGCACTTCCCATTTGGATGATCTTTCAGTCGTCTGTTAGCAAGGGATGTCGGGGTTGCGTGCCTGCACTTTTCTCCATTTTCTGCTTGTCTGTGAACCACGGTTTGGAGACATTGTCAAGAAGCGATTATTTATATTGTTATGCATGCTCTAGAAATTTTATAGTGTTGGGGGTTTGGATACATTCTGCTGCTCTGGATAGCTTGGAAACAAATCTGGTGGTAAATCTTTTGATTGTTTACTTCTGTATACTGTGTTCACGGCTGGGTGCAGTTCTCGCTGCTTCCTCATCCCCATGTAGCTGTTAGAAAATTACTTCTGTTCCTAATACTCCTGAAAAAATTGGGTTCAGGGGAAGTATATAAGGTGACAAGAAAACTGTCTGTCTTTCAGGAAAATCTAATTCTGCCTGTCCATTTTTGTAAATGGCTGCTGGCGTGGCTGATTGATGTCAGCTTAGGAAGTGGTCTTAAGACAGGGTGACAGTGTGCTGGTCAAAACAAATTCAGCTGCTTTTAGAGCATTTCCAGGAAAAATAGATTTGTCATAGTATTGGAAACCAGAATGTGTGTGCCTTTTGCGCTTCCCTTAACATAACCTTCATCTGAAACGAAGAGCTGCTAGCATTGGCCCTGGTGACCTGACCCATTGGTATTAGATGGAGCTTGAGACTGATTATTTCTCTTTTCCCTGGCTTCTTTATTTCCCCTTTCTGGAAACAACTTTAAAGTAATCCTGCAAATAGCTATAGTGTAGGGAGGAGATCAGGTTTATTTGTACTGCTCGCAGTAAGTCGTAGTCAGCACTTACACGGCCGCTTGCAGCAGTTAATGTTTCTCAGCGGAGGTGAGCACCAGAGGTGAGGAGAGCTCTGAGCTGCAGGGAGACCTGCGGGCATCTTGCTTGTGGCTCGCTGCTGAGGATAGATCCCAGCCCTCCTGTTAATGGCCAACGGCTGCTCCTGGCCTCTGTTCTAATTAATGGGTCCCTCTAATTACTGGCACAATTTAATAAGTTTATTTAATGCTAAATAATCCTTAAAGAAACAGCCTCCTTTTTCAAAGGAAGCAGGGATCTAGTCTGCTGGAAAGAGACTGGTCTGTTTGCTCTGGTTTGGACTGCTTTGAAGAAGTTCCCGGTGATATATGTAGGGCTAAGCAGCAGCTGAAGGCTGGGACATCCTTTGAGTCTGGGGAAACAAAGATGAGAGACCTTGGAGAAGCTTCACCACCCCACCCCCCCCTTCATCCCCTGCCTTCCCCAAGCTTCTGTGGTGCATCCAAATATGCAGGCAGCCTGTTTTGGTGTAATAAACCTGATTGTAATTGAGCCAGGGGGCTGAAACACAACATGATCCTGTTGTACAGAATACTTTATTCTTTTGCTCCAACACGTTTTCAATGAAAATAGTGATGGGCAGAAGGAAAACGTATCACTGTATTACTGATGATTAAAGTTAGTAGAGATGGTCCTTGACACATCTGTAGCAGCAGTAGGACCAGGGCAAAAGTTCCAATCCCTTGGCAAAAGGTTTAGTGTAATACACAAAATCCCAGTGTTCTTCAAATCTCAACTTTACAGATCACCATTTTTTAAATAAGCAGTTTAAGGGAGGGGAAAAAAGCCTATGAAGATTTGCAGTGAAGGCAGACATGAAAATTATTAGGTTTTGACCATTTAATTAAAGAAAAACCAAGCAATATTTAATGATGAAGAATTAGGGTAACTCATGCCTTCCTTGTAGCTTTCTAAAATTTATGATGATCCCATTTTGGTTCAAAAGTATGAAATGCAGCCCTGTTCCACTGTTCCCCAGGAGATGCGTCGCTCTGATTTTATTCTAGCCATGAAGATATTCTTGACGAGATTGTATATTCCCATCATGCACATTAATTTAGTGGGAGGCACTGCTCTGTTTTATGGGGTGGAAAAAAAATCCACATTTGTTTTGAGTGTCTGTTAGGTAGAATTCAGTTAAGGTGAAGCCTAAAGCAGAGTGAAGAGTTATCAACCAGCAGGTGCCATTAATAGGAAATTGTGCTGATTTTATTCAGTATTTTTCCTTATTTGCAGTAAAATGACTGCAGTTACAGTTAAATTGTACTCAATAGATGTAAAAGGGGGAAACATGTACGTGGCTTGTCAAGAGTTCAGCCCCCTCCCTGGTGGGAAGAGGGAGATGGTGGAACAGAACATCAGCTTCCAGTACTGCAGCGAGCACGGTCTGCCCTGGCCCTGCTTCTCTGTTAGTCCCTGTCTTTCAGAGCAAAATGGAGATGCAATGGACCTTTAGGTTGTTGGAACTGGGAGCCATGTCATTTCTTTTTTTTTCCCTGCAAAACAGAGGAATCATAACTGACTTCAAGTAAATCACTCCCAGTTCCCTCCATCCGCCCTCTCTCTCAGCTCATGGAGAGGTTATTTGTGAAATGTGGAAGCAATGATCTCGCACATAGGTTATTGCGGCTTAATTTTTTTTTTTTTAACTAATTTGTACAATAAATATACAGTAAGGCTGATACCTGCCTGGGGTGGTGAATGGCTTACTGTGTTTGTGGAGTACTTGGAATGGGTTGGGGACGTTATGTACATCTAAAGCATTATTCCCTCGACTGATTTAACTTCTCGCGCTCCTACAGTTTTCCCTGAAGAAGTTGTCTTTTTCAAGTGTAGGATTGTGTTACAAAATGAAGGCTCTTCCGTTCCCTGTGTGAACTTCAGGAGTTGATTATAGGATGTGTATCTGTCTCATAATTTGTGGGCAGCGGCTGCAGAGGAACAGACTGCTAAGAGAGCTGTTATGGTGACTTGAAATGCGAAGTGTATATTTAAATACAGCCTTGCCGTGTTAAGAGCACTCTTTCTGGCATCTTGGGGTAATGAGTGGCCTGGTCCATGGCAAGGGCAATCCCATACTACAGCAATAGCCACCAGACCTGTCGCACACAGGAAAAATACTGGGAGCACAGTTTGGGGCAAGATGGCGAGATTCAGAATTTGTTTGGTTGTACTTGCTCGGCCCTGCGCTAGTGGCTTATCAGCTAGAGCAAATATTCCCCATTACATCACCCACCTTTTTCAACTGCAGTATTGATAGTTATCAAATTAGAGCTTTTTATATTCAGGGTGAGAATATGCAAAGACAAATCTGACGGAGTCAATAGCGCAGCAGTGGTCTTATCACTGAGCAGGGGAGAGTAATAAAATATATATGCCGTCGATATTTTGGTCCTGAACTGTTATGAAGGTATTGACACGCAGCAGAAATACAGTATTGACTCTCTTTGTCTATTTTATTTGAGTAAAGTATTTGGCTGCAAACTTTATGCATTTTTCTACTGGATTTAGAGAGTGTGGGATGCATCCGCTTCCTAACCCTGCCAGCTGATTGCCAATTTATTTCAGGTCAAAGAATGTGCAGGTTGCTGCAAGGTAGTTTGAAACAGCATCTTTATTATCACAGCTCTCATGTTGGCTGGTTTCATTTGTTTCGCTACTTGTGCCCTCCAGGCATGCAATATAATCTTTCAACTGGTTGTTAGGACCAAATGGTCTGGTTTTTAGCTGGTTTGCTGCAGGCAAAGTCCACTAGGAAGCCCAGCAGGGCATGTGTTCCCACTTTGCATGAGTTGGTCTAATGATATTTTCCCCATTAACGTTTGGAAGAAAGATCTAATCTGTGGGGGTTGGAGGGGGGGGAGAAATCTGTTTGAGGGTTGTCAGCTGGGGAGATAACTGCTAATCATAAATGGACCACCAGCTAACATCACAGATATGCCTGGAATGTGTGTATTCAGTAAAATGTGGTGGGTTTAAAAAAAAAAAAAATACTGTTTGGGTGCCACAAGGTTACTTAACAGCCCTATTCCTTTAACAGGTCTCCGTGTAAGTGGGCTCCATGGAGCACAGATAAGAGACACAGAGAGAAGTATGTGCAAGCGGTCTTTAATGCTTTTTGCCTAGACTAAATCTGAGTCCGCTCAGCTTTTTGTTAATTCATACCAGTCTGCTTGAAATTTCTCTTCTCCCTCCCTCCCTCCCCCCCTCTTTTCCCTTTTTTTACTACTTTAGGCTTAATTTGGGAAGGGGGGAGGTTAGTTGCAGGGATTTGGATTTGGGCAGGCAGGATTTTCTCCCATGACTCTCAGCATGGGGAGATGCAGATCAATTCCCTATCCTGTGTTCAGCTGGACACTGGGTTATGGTGTGTGTTGATCAAGAAATCCCCTCCTGTTTTGTACCACATAACACATTCATTTCAGCCACTGAACCTAAATTACTGTTTTGCTTTTCTTTCTTTTTTGATGAAATGGTAAGAACTCCTTTTCTATAGGGATGAAGTTAGTTTATCCGTGCTAATGCTTTGATTTTTTTCCTTTTTTCTCTCTCTGCCACAGTAGGTAACCAGTTAGGGGCCCTGGTACATCAAAGGTAAGCAGTGGGTTATGTTTTATTATTTATTGATCAATTCTAATTGTTTATTGATCCACCATCTGTAGTAGTGTTAGGAAGTCAGAGGTTGAGAATGTGGAGAAACTGTCAGCTTAGGTTTTCTCCAGGCTGGGGTTTCTGCTAACCCTTTAAGGCTGTTTGTTGTGATGAAGAAAGGAGAGTTGATGTGAAACTTGGATTTGGTTCCTGCAAATCTGCAGCATCGAGCAGAATAAATTCTCTCTCCTCTCCCTTCCCCTGCCCTGGGGGGGGTGTGTGTAGAAAGAAAAAGTAAAAAAAGCCCTGGCATTTTGACAGAAGTTGGAAGTATTAAACAGGCAGGTAGATACTTTTTCCCTTTTTTATTTTTTATTTTAGTTTTGTTGGTGTAAAATGACCTGGGATGACTCCTTTGTCAAAGATGGTTTTGGGAGACTGAAGCAAGGATGAGTTGTTGTGCAGCCTGTCTTGGCATCTAATACAAAAGTAAAATTCCCAGTTTTTCTCGAATCCTGCTCTTAAGGAGTTGTCTGTCTGGTTTTGAGTAGGAGAGGGAAAGCATTTCTAAAGCTGGATTCACCTTCGAGCTAATTTCCATCATAACCAGCTGTTTGTTGAGGGCCTCAAAAGACAAGCAATATGCATAAAGACCTTCAATTGTTAATGGTTAGGTTAAAGCTAATGTCCAGCTAGGGCAGCAGAGAGAAGGGTGGGCAGCGCTGTCTGCTCTGCTGCTACCTGCCACCTCTCTTCTGCCAGGAGTGGTGTTCATGCAGGGAATTGAGTAGGCTGTAAAGCCTGAAATGGTTTCTTTCTGGTTTTGGTGGTTGGTTCTCTGCTAGGTTAGCTTCTTTGCAACCGTTCTCCAACACAGGGTGGTTAACAAATGATGCAGGATAGGACATTCCAGCAACAGACTGGGTTTATTCTAGGTTAAAACAATGGTAATTCTGAACCTCCCTGTTCTGTTGCTGGCATGGATGGCACTGCTTGGTTTTGCATCTCTGCTGTTAGCTGGTGAAGTTTAATGTGTATTTTATACCTTCCCTAACTGATCTAAAGCAAAAAATTGGGAGATTTTCATGTAACTCACCGCAAAACCTGCATTGAACCTATTACGGAGGTGTTTCATTGCTTGTGAGATTGCTGGCCAAATTGTATGTAATGCATATCTAAATATATGGAGTTTGCATATTCCATATTCATTGTGTTGTATTTTCAACAAGATGGAAATGGCTAAGCAAAAAAACCATCCAAGGTAATTCCTTTCTACTTGACTATGGTCAGATCTTAGGAAATTGCTTTGGGTGCTATGTTTTGAGGCAGAGACACATTGAAAAAGTCCAAAGACCAATAGATATGAAGTCTCGAGGTAATAAGACTTCAAAGAGCAATTGAAGACTGTTTTTATCAATTCAAAGGAAAAGAATGATAAGGGCAAACAGGCAAAAAAAGAATCTGAGTACTGGAAGGGACATTCATATCAGGGTTGGCTTTGATTGTCTCTGGGCAAGAGTGTATCCAAAAGTAGTAGGCAGATTGTGGCTTGTAAGGTCTAAGCTAAATACTAAAGAAACTTTGCCGTTATTCCACTAAATCTGTCTGGAGCAAGAATGACAAAAAGAGGTTCTTCTGTCAGCTCCACTGACAATAACGGAGAGTAGACTGGAAATGTGTCCAGCGCAGGAGAAATTAGGTGACCACGAGAGGTGTCTTCAAAAAAAAAAGATTTTGTGATGTGGTATTTACTTGTGTGTGCAAAAGCGTTATACTGTGCCTGGTTTTCACAGCATGAGCATAGTTGTCTTCCAAATTGTTCCTTGTAATGACTATCTGATTTTTTTTTTTTAATAATTTTCTTTTTTTTTTAGGGCTGTAATAACAGAAGAGTTCAAAGTGCCTGATAAAATGGTTGGATTTAGTAAGTACCTTGGATGCTTTTGATATGTTTCTTGATGTGTTTTCTGTGCAGAGGAATGCTGTCTATTGTTACTTGCTCACAAGTTTTTGTGCTTGCCAGCCTTGGATAAGCCTTGTCTAATGCTGTCTTCATGGGGACCAGATGAACCGTGTTTAAAATCTGGGTGCAAACTGCATGGAAAAGCTTGGTGTCCCAGTAATAAGAACAAGACTGCGTGGTGCAGGTTGCTGAGAGTTTTAGTGATTCTCTCCTTGAAATTCTCACTAGCATAGTACATAAGTCAAAAGTGAATTTATCTCACCTCACTGAAACATTTTACTTCCTTTGAGTACGCAAAACTGAGAGCTGAGGGAGGAAAGCAACTTTTAAGTGTTAAAGTAAGAGTTGACCTAAGGCAAGTTAAACAGAATTTTAAGTCTCTCATTCATTTGCTGCAGGGAAACACAACCAGCATTCATTGCTCAGATGAGAATTTTTTCCTAGATTTGCATTCCTGATACTGTTCTTTTTCAAGCTTGATCCTAATTTCTCTCTTCCTCTTGATGATCATTACTCTTCCTTTCAATGGCACCTCCTGCTGTTGTTTTACTACAGTGATTGCATTGACTCTTCCACTGCTAGCTCTCCATGTATCTCCTCCAATTTGATATATGAAGAGTAAAAGGGAAAATAACAGGCCATGATAATTACCCCTTAGTGCGTGAAGTTTTGTCCTGAATCTAAAGACTCTATAAAACTGTAACTCAAATTCCTGCAAAGGAAATGCTTGCTCTCTTCCTGCCAGCCCTCTTCATTTATCGGTCCTGGTGCCACGCATGCCGGGGAACATTGGAGGGATGCTGTAGCTCTGAGAGGGGAGCCTGCATGCTCTGTTGGTGCATCATCTGCGTATTAAATCTAATCCTGGCTCAGGGGCAGACAGATGCAGGAAGGTGGCAAACCCACAGCTGAGAGATCCTTCTGCGATCCTTCTGAGAGCATCCTGAACCAGGCACACCTGTCTGACTTGACAGCTTTGCTCTTTTTTGCAGTCTGGGAAGGATACGAATGGTGACTGGCATGTAGTCTCTCCCCAGTATGTCTCGTTGTGAAACAACTATGTGCCAGCTCCAGGAGTTAAGGGAGATGGGTATTTGTTTTCACTTAAGATTTGATAGAGCATTTTGGTATGTAGCAGTTTTGTCTGAGTGCAGACCAGCCAAATAGCATGTCCTTTGAAAAGAGGTAGTAAAATATGAATTTTAAAGAAATAAAAGCAAAAGTCTTTTCCTTTTTTAGTACCCCAAATAACTGGTTTATTGATTCAGGCTGAACAAGATATATTCTTTCAGCAGCACTCGGACTAGTGCCTTATTTCTTGCATATTATGTATTTCTATTCCAGTGCAAGACAGGCTTTTTTGGTTTGTTTTGTTTTTTCAAGGAAATAGAATAACTTTCAGCAGTATCTTAATGTTTTTCTACTAAGATAAATTTGGTCATGCTGTGGATGCCTCTCCTACAATCCTGGAGTCAAACTGTTCCTTTATAGATAGCTGCAGCAGAGTAAGAGGGGGAAGGTGCTCTGCAGTTACTCAGAAAAATGGTATGTTCTGATGCTTTTTGAACTCATTTCAGTAATCGGCAGGGGAGGTGAACAGATCTCACGGATTCAGGCAGAGTCTGGCTGCAAAATTCAAATTGCTCCAGGTAAGAGCCTCTTTGTATGGTGGCTGAACAGGTTTTAATGTTGAAGGATGTTATGTACGTTAGATCAGGTGCCTTGCCATGCTCATGGCGTGTTATCACCGTTAATAACTGATGTGTACTAGACTAAGATGCATGGGAGAGCTATTGTAGGACTGACCTCCTGACTAGTATGGAAAACAGGTTTGTCAGGTGGTTTGGGGAATGAAACAATTAAGGAACTGTCTTTAACCAGCAGATGGGTACAGTGCAAATGGACAATCCACGTTGTACTTAGACCTGAAATTGCAGCTATTGAGTTTTCTCCTGGTGGTACCACTTTGCTCAGCTCTGCAGTTTGTCTCTGAATACCCTGGTCAGCTCCAGCTGCTGGCAGAAGACATTTCAGGAGGGTGGCAGCAGCTCTTTGTACAACTCACCTTGTATCAAAAAAATGGCACCATCCGTTTGTTCTGTGCTAGTGCCTGTTTGCTTTGGGGAAGACTGTACTATAGTGCTGTACAGAAAATTGTTGATTAATGTAATCAACAAACTCTAATCAAGTTCTTACCCCTCCCTTTAATTGGTGGGGGAAGGCTTTAAAAGAATGCAGACATCCAGCAAATAATTTAAAATAAATCTTTGAATTCATGAATGTGCTCTGTGTGCAGGGGCGGTGCTTCCATTAGTGCTTGATAGTTACTGAAATGACTGCCTTTTTATTTAATCCCATGTATTAAAAGTTTCCTTCTTGTTTCCTTTGTAGACAGTGGTGGGATGCCTGAGAGGCCTTGCGTGCTCACCGGGACACCAGAGAGCATTGAGTGAGTTCTGATTTAATTTCTCTCCTTTCTCCTTCTCTCTTTTCTCCCTAATGCTGTGCTCTGTCAGTGGTGCTACTTGGTTAGCCACACCAGCAAATGTTGGCCTAGAGAAACTTGAGGGTCTCTGGAGCATAGAACCTCTTGGTCTGATGCTTTAAACTGTGCACCTCAAAGGCTTTTTTCCAGTTGCGGTCTGAACCCTCTGCAGAAATTTCCGTGGAATTCCCCTCCGCAGGGCCAGGTTGCTCTTAGGGCACCTAGGATGCAGTTTTCTAACTGCAGCTTTCCAGGATACTGAGCTAAGCTGTTGAAGGGCACTTCTCTTCTCCCCTTCGCTTCCCTACTCCTATTGAGATGATCATCCTTCCAGCTGAAGAAGGGCTGCATGAGGCCTCCAAAGCCTGTTGGTGCCACTCCAGCATAATCTGGAGGTGTTGGTGTTGTTGCAGAGCAGCATGAGGCCCATGGGTGTGCTTGCCTCTGCATTGCTGCCAACAAGAAGCAAAGGACTGAACCAAAGTCTTGAATTCTGATCCCTGCATGGTAGAGACACGTGGCCAGCCAGCAGGGGTTTCTACTCTTTAGACCTATAGAAACTTTAGGGACAGTGTTTCCTCCCTCCCCCTTCCCAGGAGCTGAGTTTGAGACTCTCACAAACCAGTTGAGGACCTCCTGCTGGAACTGGATCCAGGATCCTCAGGCATACAGGAACACACTTAACATATGGAGCTGCTCTTTCTCTCCCCAGCCTTTGGGTAGGTGGGTTTTTTAAAATCCATCTGGAAATCTTTGAGTTGCATTTGATAGTGAAAATACATGGGCGCAAAGACTGTCTCTCTAAGAAGAAGACACTCATCATTCTTCCATTCTTGAGAGATCTAAGGGTACTTAAGCCTCCTTATTCTACCATAATACTGCAAGCAGTGAGCCAGAATAAATATAATTGGCAAGCTCACATTATAGGGCAAGCAATGTATTCTTGCTGATATTAAAGTGCTTTTCCCCCTTTAGCAAGGGGTATTTCAGAACAAGAACAAAATATTAAAATGCTGGGATGCCTGATGAGATGTAGTTGGGGGAAAAAGGGGGAGAGATGTAGTTAAGACTTCATGGTTCTGAAATAAGCAGCTAAATGTAGTTGTGTTCAAAACTGTCTTTAAAATATAAATAGAGAAAAGTGAGAATACTCAATTTGTGAAGCAGAACAAGGTGTCGAGGACATGGAATTAGGTGAAATTTAATTTGCTTCTGTGCTAAAATTCTTGTCAAGTTGGTAGTTTGAACTAATTTTTCAGGCTACTTGTAGAAAAAGAAAATGAAGTAAGGAAACCAATCTAGATGTCAGACAACTTTGTGAAGGGTTTTGTGAGGAGTGTTTCCATTAGTTATATCCAGTATCAAACTAATGGGGTTAATTTCCAAATGTCCCCTTCTCATCTGAAATAAGTTGTGTATTAGCTATTGTAGCCTCTATATTGTCACTAAAAGAACTTTATGCAAAATATGAAGGTAGATGAATAAAACATCTTAAGACTCTTCCAGAAAATTTGAAGCGGGCTTCCAGAAATTCCACCTTCTGACTTGCTTTGTGAGAAAGTCAAGAGAGAGCAGTGCTCTGATCTGTGTGCAGCCTCAGATCACCACCCCCTGAGCTGTCTTGGGTGAATGTTTGCTTGCGAGGGATGACTTTGTACTGTTTCTTCAAATCACCAGAGAGAAGACGGTCCTCACAGAGTGCCTGCTAAGGCTTGGTATGAAGTGGAGAGAGGGGAAGATGCTGCTTTAGACTGAATAGGGAACTGGTGACTTTCTTCTGCCTACTCTGAGGAGGGTTGTGGGAGAAGAGCTGTGGGAGAAGGGCAGGAAAGGGATGTGTTGGTACTAGGGGTCTTCAAGATGAAGGGAAACCCTGTCAATTACCTCTGACGTGCTAAAGATTTTAGAGAAGGGGTCTTTAATCTCCCAAATGCTTCTTTGTGTGTCTCTTCTCACCAGGAGTGGAAGAACCCAGTCTTTCACTGGTTGCTGCTGCAGTATCCTTGCCTTGCTTCGCGGTGTAGCTTCAGCACCTGCTGCTTGGGGCAGAGGCTGTGTTAGAACAGTGTTCTGGTGCTGCTGGTAAGAGCAGGCAGAGAAGAGCAAGGCAGTTGCCTGTGACTGATCGGAGCATGGTTAACCAATGTGCTGTGTTAGTACCAGAGCAGCGTGTGGTTTTTGTCTTGACCAGGAAGAAGAGCAGAGCTTGAGTTTTACCAAATACTGTATATATGTTAAAAAAGTTTAGACCCTAGAGCATCTTCATTCAAAATAAGCACCCCGAATGCTGTACTATACTATGCTCAACTATTATCCTTAACTTCCAAAGAGGTCAGAGCATGCTGCTGCTCTTCCTTCTCTCTTCCCCTTTCAAAAACCAAGCTGCTTATAAGTAATCATGATAGGGGAAAATATACATCAAAGAGTTAAAAAAAGCAAACATTGTGCTAACTATGGTTTCCTCCATCTTTTCACTACTTCTCCTCTCCCCGATCGCTTCCCATTCCGATGGTTCCTGGTCTCTTGGTCACGTGGAACAATGTTGTCTAATGGTTGTTTCCCTCGATTCTTTTCCAAAGACAAGCAAAACGGCTACTGGGGCAGATTGTAGATCGCTGTCGGAACGGACCTGGTTTTCACAACGATGTTGATGGCAACAGTACGATTCAGGAGATTTTGATCCCGGCATCCAAAGTGGGTCTAGTCATCGGCAAAGGAGGTGAAACAATAAAACAGTTGCAGGTGCGCAAGATGCATTTACTTTAGGGCTCTCTTCCCTACTGCAGCTTCTCTAGATCAACAAGAGCGTGCTGAAATGGAGAGCCTTAAATGCTCTAACCTTCTACAGCAGGGACTACTCTTCTGCCTTCGGAGAGCTGGACTCAAATCCAATCTTGTGTTAAAAAAGAAATCGGTTTGGCCCCAGCTACGCATGTAGTGGAGTTTTGTCAGAACTGTGAAAGAAACTCGTGTGCTTTAGATAACATTTGGTGCGTGCTGTTTAGGAGGGGATCCTTGTAGCCAAGAAAAGGCTGTCTCTAGTCTGCTGCTACAATAGTTTTTAATGCCAGCCATGCTGTTGTAGAGTGCTGTGCTTCTCTTTTGTTGCTGATCTGTGATAAAGCTGGCGTGTCTTCCTTTTTTTTCTCATCCCTCCCCTTTCTAATTAAAAGTGTTGTGTTATGTATAAATCTATGTTCCTAGACTTTCTTTATTCCTCCATCTGGTACAAGTTTTTTAAAGAATAGAGGGTTTCAGAAAAGCACCTAGGTCAAAAATGTAGGTTTTTTGAGTGCCCTGATTAGGCCTCCGTCATCTAATAGTTTTAAGGCTGGTCACTTAATAACTGTTATATGCAGACAGCTACAGATTTTGGAAAGGGCTGAAAAATCAATTGTTGAGGTAGAGGGATTCTATTTGCAAGGGATTCAGCTATTTGAGACTTCAGGAGTAGCACACTTTCTGGCAGTCCTTTACGCTGTAGGACTATCACTGAATCTGTGCTATAAGTACCCGTGAAGAGCTAAAGTAGCGTTCTGTAAAGCTGCTGATTTGACCTACATAATGTTTAGTAACCAAAATATAGTCCCTTGTTTTAGGGACTCTGCTTAGCAAAGTGCTCTGTGCTTTTTCTTCAGGAACGAACAGGTGTGAAAATGATTATGATCCAAGATGGTCCATTGCCTACTGGAGCAGATAAACCTCTCCGTATTACTGGAGATGCATTTAAAGTACAGGTATGTAATAACAGTAAGCAGTTGCCCCAGATAATTGAGGATAAATTTAAACTTTAGCATGTTTGTGAGCATCTGATGGAGTTGAATCCAACTGTAAATGTAATGATCCTTCCTGGTTTTGTTTGTTCTGCAAGGTAGAAGTTTGAGTAGAGCAAGTTAAAACAGCAGGCTAGCAAGTGTTGACTTGTATACAGCATAACCCAGGAGATCTCGCTCCACGTGAGGGTAGGAGAAGAGCTGAGGAGGAGGGTTTGGAGAAAGTAGCTTTGAAATGCTTTCCAGTCCGTGAAGCCAAAATCATAGCTGTATGTTATTGAGCAAATGGGTTCTTAGTTACTAACTTAACCACACATTGGAGAATGTTTTGTGGAAGGTTCATTATCTCAGACAGCCAATTGACGCAGGTAATTAAAAAAAAAAGACAACAACAACTCCTGAAACCAAGGGGTTTGCTTAATATTGGTACCTCAGTCTCCTTGTGTCAGGGTTCTACAGATGTGTTCATACCTGCGGTTCAAAGCGAAACCACATGACCAGATGGAGACTGGAAGACTGCAGCATGGTGGGAATGCTTGAATTAAAGAATTAAAGTTTAGCTGTGGCATGTTCCACTTCTCAGCAAGTGCTTTTCATACCTTGCTAAGTACTTAAATCTAGCTTGGCGTTCCTGGCTCTAATAAAAATAGTTCTGCTTCATAGGATCTCCCTAATCATAAATTGGTGCAACAGTTAATAGATGTTTGGGTTGTATTTTTCAAACCTCTTATTGCAAGTGGGCTTTTAGATTTAAATGTGGGGTTTGGTGTGGGGTTTTGGGGTTTGGTTTTTTTTTCAAAATTCTTACTGTGGACATATAGATGTGCAAAAAGGAGTTCAATGGCAGTCTTGCTACTATTAACCAAATCATACTTTAAGTGCTGCTGCTTCCCAGGTGGTTTCTTCTGCCTTGCAAGATTTGCTGTTGTTGCGTCTTCCGTGCCATAAATCATGCCAAGCAATCATGGAGACTGCATAGGCTGGGAGATCTTTGAGGCACTTAGAAAGGTTGAGCACGCTTAGAAAGCACTTAAGGTCAATGAATCCTTGGGTTTGGTGGGATTCTCTGGATGCTGCAACAGTGTTTCTTAACTGAAATCTCTCCATTGCCCGTATTTCTGTCTTGGCATCTCTGAAATGTCTTGAGTCGTTTCCTTCTGTAAAAAAAAAAAAAAAAGCATGGGGGCACGGAACATATGTAAAAATGTGAAAGGAGTCAGATTCACCAGTGTCCCTCAAACTTGGAAATAGAACCAAAATGTCAAAAGCTTGACTGGTAACGTATAGAAACGAAGGGTTTGGTTTTGATGTGTAGGCTTTTTTTTTTTTTTAATGGTGGCTACTGTTGGCTTATTTCCAAGGTACACTTTTACTAGCTGGGCTACATGCAAGCTTGTGAATGGCTTTGAGGGTTGCAAGTAGGTAGGAAGAATATTCATTTGTCTCAGAGAATGTCATGCTGGATTGCTGCAGTCTTGGGCTTAACTTCTCTGAGTGTCAGTAAGCTCACTGCTGCCCATGTGCCTCCTTGGGTCATGCTCTCTAGCTCTTAGTGGACATGCTCTGCTATGCTACCACAGCTTCTACCTTACTACATTGGCTTCAGTTCTATCCAGTAGGAAAGGGCCTTCCCTTCCTTTAATTAAAAAAAAATCCAAGATCTTTGAAAAGCTAAAGGGCCTTTTTGAAAGACTGAAGGAAGGAATTGCACACAAGAAACTGCCACTTTGCACACTTGGCAGGTTTTGTCAGACATGGAAGATGCCATCGAGAACAGATCTCCACTGACTGGTAAAAGAAATTCTAAATCAGAATGCTGTTTCTGTTGAGCAGATGGAGATCGCTTTGCCTGAAGCCTGACCATTAGCCACTGTTGAGGCCCTAACAAACACCAAGATGGCAAGCAAAATAATTTTAAGCTAACTGTAACTTCTTTCCCCATGTAGCAAGCGAGGGAAATGGTACTGGAGATCATCCGAGAGAAAGATCAGGCAGACTTCCGAGGCGTACGCAATGATTTCAGTTCTAGAATGGGAGGAGGCAGCATAGAGGTATGTTTTCTTCACGAGTACTCTGCTAACCTCCCTGTGGGCTGGGTAGTGGGTGGAAGTCATCAAATCGCACATGTAACCTGTAAGCTTATGTTTAAATGCATTGTGTTCTGTTGCCAGAAGAGAGTGAGTCTGGCTGCAAAGAGGAGGAGTTCTCATGGACTCCCAGATGGCACTTTTCTAATTGTCTTTTTAAGCTGCATTCTTGTAGTGCAGAGTTCATTTAGCGGGGAAGGAATTTGTGGCCACATGTTTGTTTTTCTTAAGTAACACGGTTCTGTAGCCTGGAGCTGCCTAACGTGGCCTGTCCTCATAGTTAAGAGCATCTCCTTGTAAAATCAGGGTAATTCAGTCTAGTTCTCTGAGCTTTCATACTGCTTTGCCTTTCCCATCAGGTCTCTGTGCCCAGGTTTGCTGTTGGAATTGTGATAGGAAGAAATGGAGAAATGATCAAAAAGATTCAGAATGATGCTGGAGTTAGGATTCAATTTAAACCAGGTTTGTGTGAGGATGGAGAGCTGTTTACTTTCTGACCAGTGTTCCAGTTTGGGATTGCTAAAGTGGATCTGATCTGAGGTTACAGCAGCTAGGCTTTCCTAATGTAAAGGCACATTGTGTCTCTTTCTGAAACCCGTTTAAACATGATGTGCTGATTCCTTGTGCACTTTCTGGTTTTCAGAGAGTAAGATTATATACAACTCATTTGCAAACATTAGATGTCACAACAGTCATGCCTTGAGTGGTAATTATATGGATAAACAAAATAACGATAACAAAAAACCTTTTATTTTCTGTCAAAGAATTCTCCTTCAGGACATTAAAGCCTTTGGGGATCAGGAGTTGATTAATTCTAAGTCACTTTCTCTGGGTCCTTGGCTGTCTGATCACCTATCAAAGCTGCCTTTGTCCTCTTAAAATTATATCAGTCTCTTTCATGGCTTTTTGACATTTGAAAGCGTTGCCTTTTGAATGTTGTTCTCTCTGCAATGTGGGTTGGGTTTTGTCATCTTTCAGCCCATGGAAGAGAGGCTGAAGGTGGAGGGAAGAGGTAGCTCTTGGGGTAGTTATGTTATGTGAAAATGCTGCTAGCAGTGCTGGTGCTAGAAGGAAGCTTTTGTTGGCGGGTGGATGTTTTCTCCTTTTAATTTAGTCTTTGCCACCTCTCTTCACAGATGATGGGATTAGTTCTGAAAGAGTCGCACAGGTCATGGGGCTTCCCGATAGGTGTCAACACGCAGCACACATCATCAGTGAGCTCATTCTCACAGCACAGGTGGGTTCTGGAGGCTCTTGAGAGGAAAGTGCTTATATGGGAATGTAGTCTGCGTGCATGCAGCTGTGTGGGTGGATGCCACCATCTGAAGAACAGCAGTGTTAAATTTTCCCTCTGTAGGCCACACATGCTGCTGCCCAGGACAGCTGCTAGGTTTGTTGGTTTATTTGTGGTTTTTTAATGTGACATGGGCTGACTGAGCTATGGGAAGGTCTTCTATTCTCAGGCAGTATTATGAAGCCTCATTGAAGCTCCATGTTTACCCCACATGTTTAGTTGTTCTTATTTGGAAATGGTGACCTGGTGGAATGGAGTCCAGCAGTAGCAGGAGACTGGAGGCCCTGCTCAGTAGAGCTGAGTAATGCTTGGGTAGCAAAGCATTAACAGTGCTCAGTGATGCCTCCTCTTTGGACTCCGGTCCTCTGGTCTAGTGGCCGTGGGAAGTAGAGGAAGGCAATGAACACTCACATATGTGGTCATTGTGCTCTAAGAAAGACACCAACATATTGCATTGCCCAAAAGCAAGAAATGCAAAGATGAGTGAAGTAGTAGGGCAGACTCGTGAAGGAGGTTGTATATTCCCTTTGTATTATGAGATGTAAAGATGTTAGGCCATTCCAGACCAGATACCTGAGCATAATTTCTCCATCGAGGGTAGGTCTTGATACCTCTTCTTGCCCTGAGATCTGGTTTGAATATTTGATTACATAAATTTTTAATCATCCACTTAAAATTTTGAGGTCTGTCATGATAGTCTCTGACTGCCCATCACCTTTTGCTTTTGGAGAAATCAGTTACCCAAAATAGGTATGTCCTTTAAGTGTCTTTGAACTTAAAAGCTTCTTTTGGAAGTTTTGGAAAACATGCATTTCAGCTGAGTAATTCCAGCAGTTCTTTAAAGAATGACACTTGAAAGGGTTTGGCAGCAACTTCTGCGTGTGTCGGTGCCAAGAGCTATTGGTTGCTCTAAGGAAAGCCCCCGTCACAAATTAAGAGTCCTTTAGCAGTTGATGCTTGTTTATAGGTTTATTTCAGCAAATACAAAGGCATGCATTTAAAAAATAAAAATACCTTCCTGAGTCAGGAAGGCAGCTGTAACCTACGTTACTTGGCATTTCTTTAAAGTGCTTCAAAATCTTCAATGTGAAACTGGTGTCCAAGAATATCTTAATTCAGTGCCATTGATTGTAATACATTTGAACTTACCTTGCTTTATTTTGCTTTTAATGTGCATTGGGGCCAACAAAAAAACACTGATTACAATTTTTTTGCCTTCCAAGGAACGAGATGGCTTTGGAAGCTTGGCTGTTGCCCGAGGAAGAGGCCGTGGCCGTGGGGACTGGAGCGTTGGGACACCTGGGGGCATGCAGGAAATAACCTACACAGTGCCAGCCGATAAATGTGGTCTTGTTATAGGCAAAGGTAGGTCCAGTGACACTGAATATTAGAGCTTGCAATCTTTCTCTCTCAGGATGGTTGCATGCTTGTTGCCTGACAGTGAGGCTTTGGAGTTTTCTGTAATTGCAGATATTTAGTGGCTGGTGAATGCAGCATAGGAATAAGCTATAAGCGATTGTGGTTGTTTTCTTTGTGGTGCCTCTCGCTCATAATTGTACTCTCCAGGCCCTCGTTCACAATCTGTAAGAGAAGCTCTTCATGCAGAGCTGTCAAGTAAGCTTGTTATAACAAGCAGCTGGCTGAGAAAGGCAGGTTCATTTGTGGATTCTTTTTACAGAGAATTCGTTTAAAGGACGGTTTATCAGGGACAAGCAGAACAGTCATTTCGTCATGTAGGATTTCTGTGAGTGCCGTGTGATAAAATGGAAGGTCTCTGAATGTGGTAATAAGAGAAGCTGCTTCCAGCCATGTACCTGAAGTGTCTGATGAATAAAGTGAAGTAGCAAGATTTTTCTGTAAGCTTGCATCTGAGCCTGTCACAAAGCAGACTGGTGCACCTCATCTCACTCAGATGAGCATGTTCGCTGCCACGGAGGCCCCTTGGCTGCCTTAGCCGTTGAATCTCTCCTTGCTAAGGACATGGACGAGGAGTCACCTGCCCTTCCTCTCAAGAACCAGTACAACGCCAGGACAGTTATGAAACCAGAGCATCAGCAGCAGCTGAATTTGTCATAGAGCATGAGCTACGCATCGGTAATGGCAGTACTCAGATTAGAGCCAGGAATAGAAGGGCTCTATCGCTCTGAATTGTTGCAATGCTTCTGAGTTAATACACTGACGTACCAAAGGAGTTGTATTTAATTTTTCTATCTGCTTATTTCAGAAAGAATGACATATTCCTTAACTAGTATTTAAGTAATCACAGTTGGCTTTTATTCCTCGGCAGAGGTGAGGTGAATAGAATAGGAACAGATTAGCTACAGCGGTAGAGGCAGAGACTTGAGGGCATTGTGCCATGTTTCAGTGACATTTATTTTCCTGCCATCCTGTTGGGCAGGAGCGAGCTTGCAGTGAACTATGTTGTGGCCTCTTGCCCCTGCTGCATCTCGCTTGTTCCTTTCCATGTGTCTGGCCCCTGTGGCACCCTGAACTGCTGCCTTGTTGGATGACAAGGGACACAGATATGGGACACAGGCGTGTCAGCAGTGTATCTGCAATTATTTTCAGATGTTATTCTTTGCCGTAAACCTGTCCACAAACCTGAAAACTTTTTTCAATATGGAAAAACACCTGCTCTCCCCATTATGCAGAAATTGCAGAGTGATTGTGCTTGCTCTCACTGAACAGTCCAGTTGGGCAAAAGATCAAGCAAAGCAAATTTTAAGCCTACAAGTGAGTGTTATACGTATGGAAAAATCAAATTATAATGAAACTTTATTGCTGTATCCATTAGTCATCCTTAATAAAGGATCAGAAAAGGTCACTTGTTCAGCAGTGCACTGAAGTGGAGCATTTGTGACTACAGAGCGCACTGTGTGCTGAAAAGATAAATGCAGGTAGTGGAGTTGGATGTCCTAGCATTCAAGTGCAAGGCCTGGCACAGGCTCGCTGTGGGGGTGAAGGGTAGCTTTTTACCTTTGTTTCCACAACAGCAAAACAGGGATTCTTAACCGGCCAGATCAGGAGCTTTCTGGAGTGACTAATTACTAGTTGTATGGTGATTTGAGTGCTTGTAGCTTTGTAATACCACCTTGTAATCGGTGTTCTTACAGCGCCTATGCTCTTAGTCTATTGCAGCCTTCATTTTTGTCAAGTGAGTGATGGCTGTAGTGTTGCCTTCTGGGGCCTGGACCAGGATGCATGTACTGTGCTCCCCATGTGTTGATGCAAGACACCTGATTCTTCTTCCTCTCCTACTCCCTGTGGGGCATTATAGGGGAGAGGGGATGTTAATGAGATTTTTTTTTTTTTTAACAGTGACCAATTGTAAAACCTTTGTTCCCCCCTCTTTTAGTTTCTGAGCAGTTTCCAGCTTTTTCTGCGGCTCTCCCCCTGCCCCCAGGATACAGGACTTGGCTTCTCTGTAAAATGTGGCTGAATCCTCTGGGCACACACAGCTTGGTCTCTGAGATTAGCACCTGAGCATTGGGTATCTTGGGCCCCCTGGGCATAGTGTATGCAATGTGGCCAGGTAACCGCTGCTGTGCTTCCAGTTCCATGTCACCACCCAAGACATGGGGAAAAGAGGGAGATGAGGAAGTTTCTCAGCTCAATTTCTGCAGTGTATATGATAGAAGATCTAGAGCCCTTTTCTTGTGGGCATCACTTCTCAGCTTGGGAGCATGAGCCTTTATGAGCTGATAAGAAGTGCTCGGCTCCTTGCAAATCCTGTGCGTAGCTTTTTCCTCTAGAGGGTGGGTAGGTGCAGCTTTTCTTTTCTGAAAGGCTCGAGGAAGGGTGGAGACGAGCACCATACACATGTCAAGCGCTTTCTCTGTTTGGTGGTGCTTGGAAACAAACCGCAGCCTCTCTGGGCCCCCGCTGGATTTCCATGATAAATACAGCAATATTGACAGATAACGTGGCCGGCCTGGCTCTTGTCAGCTCTGCCTTTTAGCAGGTTTGATTAATTGCTTTACGATTTCACGTCCAGCTGGGGGGCCACTCTTGGATCGCTTCTGCCCCCCATCAGGTAGAAGAATGGAGCGGGCTGCTGAATGTGTCTGTAGACAGCCACCATGTGCCGAGCGGGTCACCTCATTATGGGGGAAGATGAACTCCTTCCGGCATCATGCGGCATCATGTTGACTGTGTCACTTCCATTTGCATGCTCTGGAGGCTGAGTTGGGATAGCTTGGATGGGAGGGAGCACTTCAACATGTACCAGAGTGGAGGGTAAGGAGGAGGAAGGCACCGAGTCCTGGTATGGAGGGTTGGGAGCTTGCAGCCTCTGAGCAAACCTGGAGAGCCGACTAACTTGATCCTGCAGTGTGGTCTAGGAGGGACCTGATGTGGAAACAGTCTCAACAACTACAGGCTTGGTGCTGAGTGCTAAATGGGGAAATGATCTGAAATCTAAATTCTCTTTGCTTCCAGTTTGAGAATGCTTCCATTTTTAATCCCCTTTTGGAAGGAGAAACCTTGTCTGCTGTGTGAGTAGCATAAGCCTCTGTCTCCCAGTAAAGAAGTTTTCCCACTCCTTCACGATCCAAACTGTGTCGGCTGAAAGGGTCCTCTGTTTTCATTAGCAGATGAAATGGCTGTTGATTCAGATCTCACCTCAATATGTAAAAACCAGAGCTTCCACCAAGTCTGTGTCAGACAAAAGCATTTCATAAAAAAAACTTCTTGGTTTTGAAACTTCATCTTACCACTTTCCCATGCTTGACTGAAAATAAGTGGGTTGGCTTCTGGCTGCACAGTACAATCCCTGTTGTCTGCCCAGGGATGTGACACGATTATCTTTTGTTAAATGCATCTTCAAAAATTCATTTAGAAAGAGTTAATTGCCCTTTGGCAACTTTTCCTCCTCCCTTCCCCAAGAAGGCTTTAGAATGTTAAAAAGGTCACAAGTCCATTACAATGAAATGAACAAGTGTCTGCAACATCCACAGTTTGTTTTGAAGTTGTGCTGGATGTATAGAGATGGAAATACAAGGAAAATTGAGGAGATTGTTTTTGGAGGCTCTTTCTAATTAAAACCAAACAAAAATCTCCGGTTAGTTTGCTTTGCTCTCTTTCCTGCTTGCTCTATGTCCTTCTGGCTGGTGATTTTTGGTGTTTTGATTTAGAAGTTGTTAAACCCCTTCCTTCCCCATACCCTTTAATTTCTCCAGTTGAGTGGAGCTGGTCTGTAAGTTGTCTGAGCTTGCAAAAGAAGAATTGAACCATTGTAACATTGGCTGAGGCTTTTGTTAAGCAAATTTCATTAAGAGACCGGGACCTAGCAGGTCTTCAGGAAATCAGATCTGCTTTGGCTGGGCCCGCCGTGTCTTCCTCTAAGCACTCCTGTGCTCTAGTGTATCCAGATGCCAAACTAGCCAGATATGTTCACTGCATGCACAACTAACTCCAAAATAGCGGAAGACAGCCTGGAATCCTGCGCTACTGTGGTTGTGTGGAGGGGTGTGCACGCTGCAGTGTGAATAGGAAGCGTGGTAAGTGGAGGTTTCATTAAGGGAATAAACTATTGAGCCACATGTGATTCTGAGAAAGCTTAAGCTTTGTTTTTAAGCTACAAGGTGTGTGGCTGATGGCTTTTTGCCTTAGTGGAATTAAATGTCTAGTGATGGGCGGGGGGGAAAGCCTTGCGGATGAAAGAAAAAGCATGTTTCAGTTGCAGGTGACTTTCTTTTCTTGAGGATTGTGAACAGCTCTGCAAAACCACCTGAATTCAGTCAGTACAGTTTTTGCTTCTGGTTTGTCAAAGTGTGTCTCAGCCACGCTGCGTTTTCTTGGGAGCCAACAATGTGCACACAAGGGGGACTGCATGTATTCCTTAAGCAGCACCTTCCGTGACCCCAAACACCATGCAGTAGGCTTACAGTTTCACGTCATGCTTCTGAGGCAGTTTAAAGGAGCAATGTTAGCTCAGGTACTGTGGTTTCTTACGCTGTTGCTATCCTCAGCCCACCTCCCTTGAGGCACATAGAAGGTAACTGAAACATATTGTGCTACCAGAACCTGACTTTGATATGCTTTTACGGAAAGGGATGCTGAATGTCTCTCCTTATGTCTTGGTTTTCTTTTCTTCAGGTGGTGAGAACATCAAGAGCATAAATCAGCAGTCAGGAGCTCATGTGGAGCTCCAGAGAAACCCACCTCCGAACACAGACCCTGGTGTACGAATATTCACAATCAGAGGAGTTCCCCAGCAAATTGAACTCGCTAGACATCTCATAGATGAGAAAGTTGGTGTAAGTTCCATCTCTGTTGATCTTGGTCTGTCTCTTTCAGATTTGGTGTTTTCACTCTTAGGTACATGTAGGCCTGGACTTACAGGATGGCACAGAATACACACGCTTACGTTATTCAGCTTCAAAACCATTTGCCTGTTAACAGCTGTCTTGAACTTTGGCCCTCCAGCATCCCTTGGACTAATTTTTCCTGTGGTCCCAGAAGGATCTGACTTTGCTGATGTAATCAAGGGTAGTGTGCAGCTGTATGAGAGGGAAGAACAGCAATAATAAGGTATGAGAAGGCTGTCAAAGGAGATTTTTTGAAGGGAAGACAATAGTGTCACTGCGTGAGAATGGCACAATCCTGGCGTCATCATCCTGAAAGTAACACTCAGCTCCTTGCTCCAGTAAATCCAGGATGACTTATCTTCCGCTTAATGCAGTGCTGTGGTATTGAAGCTTAATAATGTCAGGCTGAAGTACTACTGAAGGGGGAGACTTGGGTAAAAGAAAGTACGGAAAATACTGAACTGGGGCATGGTAAAGCTGAAAAGCAACCTTTATGCTGGATTGCCTGAAAGGAGAAGGCTTGATACCGACCTCAGGATCCAAGCTATTCAAAGGAAAACTTCCAACTGTGCCATAGTCCCATTAGCCCTTTTGTGGGCTGGCCAGAGTTGCTTTTGAAGCTGGGCTCCTGGAGTGTGCTGACAGTCCCGAGAACTTCATCCTTGGAGAATCAGTCACTTCTTTCAGGTGCTGGGGTTTAGTGGAACGTGTCCCAGGCTGTCTTCCTCCTTTTCCTACTGCTCGTACTAGCTGCCTCCACTCTGTGCTTAGAGCTGGCATTAAATATTTGTGGATTCTGTGACAGGGTACCAGCATGGGTGGACCTGGAGGATTTGGTCAAAGTCCGTTCAGCCAAGCACCTGCTACACCTCATCAAAAGTAAGCTTCTCCATCTCTTCATGGATGGGCTGTGGGCAATGGCTGGGAGCTGTAAAAGCACTGGGAGAAGGGTGGGGGGCCCTGAAGGGGTGGTGTATAAGTGGAACCTTTTAAAGGGTGAGCATTCAGAAGCAAGAAGAAAGTGAGATTAATCCTTTTAAGCTTGACTACAGGAAGGATTTCAGCTATTAAATTATAAACAAAGTAGGGATTGGCATCTCCAGAATTCCTGCCTCTAGTGCAATGAGAGCATGGAAAGAAGCCTGAACTGCATACAGCACAAGGAGTGCTGTTCAGTAGGATGTGTCTTCCTCCTGGCTTCATGAACAGACCAATATTGAGACCAGTATCAAGCAGTCCCACCTACGCAGCGTTTCCTTTTGTTCCCATGTTCACCTGTTTGCTCAGCAATTGCTGACCATAAGTAACAATTTCGCTTATGTGGGCAACTTCATGTATACGGCCTGTTAGGTATTTTATTGTCTACTTCAGCATGCCTTTTTGTCCTCTGCAGTGGTCCTCAGGCGTTCATGACGCAGGGTTGGGGCAGTACCTACCAGACGTGGCAGCAGCCTGGACAGCAAGTCCCAAGTAAGTGTCTAGGACCTGGGTTGGAGAAGGGGTTGGTGTTCCTCTTCAATTGCTGCTTCATGCCTGCAAAACACAGGTTCACCCATGAGACCGCTTGTGTGAAAACAGCAAGATCATTTCCTGAGCAGCAGAGGTGTGTGGAGGCATGCTGTGGTGTTTGAGCTCAGAATAAGCTGAAGTCCATTGAAAACTGCAATGCTTTTTGCTAACTGCTTACTGCTTGTTTCTGCGCTCTCTGTGTGGAAACTGGGTCTTTGCTGTTGGTTCCTAACAAAAATGTTTCGGCTTTAGGTTCTCTTCTGCTAGGATTCTCCAGGCAAGCACTTGCCAACCCCACTTCCCCTTAACAGCCACACTGTGTCTGGTGGTGAGCTCTCCCATCTCTTTGTTCTTGACCTTATCAGTTCTCGCTTATTTTCTTTTTTAAATGTTCCTTATGAGCTCTTCTCACTGTTCAACTCCCAGTCTGATGGAAAGACTGGGAAAGGAGATGCAGAAAATGGAAGAAAGGATAGGCAGGGCTTCTATCCTGATTCACCCACAATGGCTGTAGTAGTGTCCCCTTGTCTCCTTTTGGGAGTTGATGAGAACTGCTCAGCCTCCACAGTGCTAGATGCTCAGAATGAGGCCAGTGGGGTAACCAGCTTTCAAATAAATAAATAAATACGCCCCAGTGCACACATGTCCTTACTCATGAGTTCAAAAACTGAACACAGATCACCCCTGCTGCCAGGTTTTCCATTTCAAGCCACCAGCACTAGGTCAGGCTGGCTGTTATTTTTCAAGGTTTGAAGCGGCATTTCTTCATAAAACCCTGTTTAGTCTAAATTCAGGAGGTTGGAATGGCAAGTGCTCCATTTCAGAATAATCGAGGTAGCAAATTAGTAAATGCTAGCAGTGATGTGGGTAACTGCATCATCCCATGTCTTCAACAGCCAGAGTAATGGTTTGCCCTAAACAGAGCAGATTCACAGTCTGCTTGGTCGCCTCAAAGCCTACGTGATGGGCAGTAACGTCCAACAGACACTTTTCAAGAACAATTTTTCAGGAAATACAAGTTTTTTAATGGCCTGGTTTGTGAAAACTAAAGCTAAGGACCAAAAAGGCAGGGGGGTAGTGTAATTTTAAAGGAGTTTAATGACAGGTGCTTTTCGGTGCTAAGGCTGATTTAGCAATGAAGCAGATAATTAATTTTGGGATAAATTCCGTCTCTTTGAGGTGTCTGAGATAGATGAAATGTTGGAGGAGCAATACCTGCAATTGCACTTGTGATTCCCTGTAATACCAACCACGTTTTAATGTTTATGAAATTGTGCATTTACGAAATCTGGAAATCCTCAATGCTGCATCATTAACTTAATGCACTTCTAAAATGTGTGCTGCAGCAGGACATAGGAACCCTGCGTGGGAAGTGTGTGTTAAACTCTAAAGAAATGCCCCTGGAAGAGTCCTGCTCTTTAACAATTACAGTCTAAAAATCATGACTTTTCTTTCTGAGCTCTAGGGAATTGCAGAAGGTCAATAGTTGCTCTATTTTCAGGACAGCAAAATGCAATGGTGGGCTTGAAAGGACTCCCTTTTTTGTACAGGAGTGGAATAGTATGGTACTGAAGAGTATTCTCCCATTAGCTTGTTTTACAGGAAAAATTGTTATTCCAGTCCTTTCCTGTGCACCTCCAAGAGCACTGGACTTCCCTGAGCTTTGGGAAGCAGAGAAGCCAGTGCAGCAGGGAAAGCTCTACCAAAAAATGTCATTTTTATCTTCCCTTAAAGCCTTTGAATAAATGCTTATGAAACGTGCATTGCTATTTGCCTTGCAAAATGCCTTTAGAAAACTCACTTTAGTAACTTACCATCTTTCTCACCTCCCTGAAACATCCTCTTATTCCACCCACCAGCTACTGGGGGAAAAATATCTCCCTTCCTGCAACACATAGTCATGTCTCAAGCTCACATCTCGTGGCTTTGGAGCCTGGTATAAGAAGCACAGACCCTTTGAATCCCCTGATTACTGATAGTACAGCTTATAGCCCAATGATGACTGCTTTGCAATGAGTTCATCAGGTTTCCAATGGCTCCCCAGACCAGTGAAGCATCATTCCTTGCCATTATCCTTCCCCTGTATGGGTTTAGTACCACAAGGCCATGGTTGGGGGGCAGACAGTTTATTTCTGCTGTTGAACCTGATGGAAAATGTTGGCTCTCTAGTTCCATGTCTACTTAGGATGCTCCATGTTCCTGTTTGTAGCCAGGCATACTGGAGGCAGTCTTGGTAAGGAGAGAGGACAGACAAGATAATGCTGTGCTTTAAGCAGCCTTCACCGCTTGCTTCTGCTGCAGATCACAAGGGTACCCAGTCAGGCCAGGTGGAGTTCACCAAGGCATGGGAGGATTATTATAAGAAACTAGGTAAATACCTGCTTTTGCACTTTAAGTTTTTATTTGAAAACAGTCTTGTGAAGGGTCCCTTCTCCGAGTGCTGCAGCCTGTTTGTTCGCAGCTCTGCTAGCCCTGTCAAAGAACCGGCTGAGTCGTTCTCGGAGCAGGCTTCCTAGGGACAGGCTTGAGAGTGCCCTCGTTGTGGGAGGAGGGGCAGACCCCCACCCCCTACACATGTATTTAGATTTTAATTACTTCCCCCATCTTAAATAAATTGACTGGCTGGGGAAACATTTTGCTGTGAAATGCATTTAGCTGCGTGTCCTTTCAGCCTGCTGCAGACTGTAATTCTCCTAGAAGAAAAGGCATTGAAGGAGGTCCTTTGTTGGCATTAGCAGGTGGACAGTTGAGGCAGCCTTGACCTCTGCCAGAAAAGGTCCTGACTTGTAGCGTTGGTCAAGTCTTTTAACCCGCTTTTATGCCCCTGGACAGGACACTGCTGCCCTGTTCCCTCCACCCACTTCACACTTGCAGTGTATTATTTTCCCCCTTCCCTCCACTTCAAAGCCCCCCTTCGGCCGGCGTCGCGGGGCAGGGCTGTACACGGAGCGCGGGCGGCTGGAGGGGCTGGGGAGAGCTCTCCTCCACGCGTGTCTCCCGTCCCTGCGTGTAGTGGCTCGTGCTCAGCACTCATGCTCTCGCTGCGCCTGCCTCTCTCTGCAGCTTTCTAATTGTTGTGTTCTCCATTCAGGGCTTTTTGGTGGTGGTGGTGTTTGCTGCGTGTCCGGCTGGGGGGGGTCTTTGCTCTAACTGTGGCTAAGGGAAGCTCGGGCATCCCACCTCTGCACCCAGCTGGCTGGACTCTCCCCTGCAACAGCACTTAAACCTGCTGGATTGAAGGTGTCGTAGTGCTTCAAAGAGGGGGAGTCTGTGCTAGGCCACAGTTCTGGGGTCTGCAAAGTGTCTCTCAGTGCAAGCGTTGGCACCGCAGTGCAGGATTCTGGAGATGGTTCCAGTTGGGTTGGGAGGGTGTCGTGGATGCCTCTCTGGATGGCGTGGGTGGGGTGGTGCTGAAGGCAAGTGGAGCTGGCTGTGCTTTGTGCAGGGCTCAACGGCTTACTTCGGTCCTGAGGACTCTGCAACCGGTAGCAGTTCGGCTACCCCGGAGCTGTGTGTGCCGGAGGCTCCCGTGTGGGCACGTTGTACAGGCTTTGCCCGCTGGGGCTCCTTCAGACGTGCTCTGCTGGTGAGAGTAGGGGTGAAGGGAGCAGACCCCTGGAAACCAAGTGAGATGACTCCAAACATGGCTGTTTCCTTGGCAGCTCCACGGCTGGAGGTCAAGGTGACAGGTCTCAGTTCCGTCAGGGGTTTGAACCCTCCATCCCTGTGCCCGATGGGGAGTGGACTGACAGCCTCGGGTGGGTGATACACAAACCGAGCAGCTCCCAGCAAACGTGCTTTGTCTTGAGCAGGTCCCCAGCGGGGGGAGACTTACCTTAATGCCCTCTAACCAGGCACAGGTGAAATGAAATCAGGGACTTGAGCTTTTCCTCAGCTTTCCCTGAACTGAAGATGCCCAACGCTGTAGAAAGGTGGAAGCTGAAGTGTGAAGTCTGGGCAACTGAGGTAGATCCAGGGCTTGTCTAGCGGAAAGGTAGATGTCACTGGCTGGAAACTGTCACCTGTTCCATATTGACGTGCCCCTTGTTGTCATCTTTGCACAGGCCAACAGAGCCAGCAGCAGAACAGCCATCCTGATTACAGCAAAGCATGGGAGGAGTATTTCAAAAAACAGAGTGAGTGAAACAGGGTTACTGGAGATGAATCAACTCTTGTTGTAAACAGAGTTAACTCTAATCTGATGACTTGCGTCTCCATCCCCTGCCATCATTAGCTTCCAGTCCTCTACAAGACCCCTTTGGTCCTCTCCTGTTGGTGATGGTGCATGTAGTTCTCCCACTGAAAGCTCTGTCCTGCTGTCTGCTGTCTCGCCTCGGGAGAGGTGCTCCCATTGAACCACAGTCCACAGTAGATCTTGTGTCCACACCGGCAGTTGGCCTGCCTGGGGGAAACATAGTGCACAGCAAGAACTGATGCTAACAAGAACCAGAAAGCTGAAGCTGGGTTGCTGAGAGGGTAGAATTGCTCTGCGCACTTTGAAAAACATGGGCCTGGCTTTCTCCACTCTGATAAGAAGCGCGTGATGCCGACTTCTGGATTTGCATTTGGCACCATGCTGCTGGAGCCTTCGGGCCAAGGATGAAGGGTGTGGGCCATCAGACCCTGTCCCTGCAGCCATGGGAACGTTCCCTTAACGCTTTCTGGCTGCTGCTGGCTTGTCACTAGCAAGCCAGCTCAAAGCCTGTCCTGTCATATCCGAACAGCAGATAGCCGGTGTCGCTCTTTCAGGTGTCTGCAGCTGTTGGAAGGGGGCTGGCTCTTCTTTAAGCTTTACAAAAGGAGATCCTAAGCCTGGGCTTGGTCTTACGGAATTGCTCATCTCTCCCTTTTCCCTTCTTTTCCTCCAGGTCATGCTGCCAGCGCTGCTTCTCAGGCAAGTTCCCAGCCGGACTACACGATGGCTTGGGCAGAGTATTACAGACAGCAGGCTGCCTACTATGGGCAGACACTAGGGCAGGCTCAGGCCCACAGCCAGGTTTGTATTCATGTTCCCTGAACC